GTGGAGATTGACTTCCCAGTGAAAAGTTAGAGGATGGGAACTAGGGTTGGGCAGGACTAGTTCTGGCCTGAGGCCTGAGGCATAGTCTGAGGTGTGTCCTGGTTGGGGTGGGCCCAACTGTGGGCAAATACCAGGTTTATGGGTTAATGTATAGTAAAATGTAGACAGCGCAATGGACCTGCAATTGGTTTGAGTACAGAGGCTTAGTGGGTGAGACTGTGGAAGCAGGCAAGACTACCCTAGATTGATCAGATAGTGGGATGGAAAAAATCCTCAGTTTTGCTTCCTTCCCGTCCTCACTCACACAGCCTATTGGAGCAAGATAGAGGCTTTTGGGTTTTGTTTTTTGTGTGTGTGTGCATTTTTAAACTTTTCAATTAGTTTCAGAAATGGATCATCTAGACATCTCACCAATGGTTTTCCTGGAGACTGTAGGCAAGCATCCAATTGCAATTTACATTATGAATTGTTTTGAAGGAAGTTCCCTGAGCTGTATATAAATATAGGAAAAGTTCAGCTTCACAAAGTCAGTATAATAGCCTCATTCCTTCTTAATGTTCTAAATCTTTTTACCCAGGGGTAAACTGATTTCACCATGTATCTGTCCAGGTACAGTGTGTGTGTGTGTGTGTGTGTGTGTGTGTGTGTGTGTCTCCTTCTCCCTCACCCTCTCTCTGTCTTTCTCTCTGTCTCTCTCTCTCTCTCTCTCTCTCTCTCTCTCTCTCTCTCTATCTCTCTCTCTGTCTCCTTCTGCGTGCATGTGTGCGCGTGTGTGTGTGTGTGTGTGTCTGTGCGCGCGCATGTGAATACCAGAGTCATTCATTTAGTAAATACAGTTGGACCCTGTTAGAGATTAAAAATTGGTGGTCAGATGAATCATATCAGCAAGGTGCTAAGTGTAGATGGGCCACCCAAGGAAAGTTGCCAGCATAGAGATGTGGAGAAGAAGAGCTAGGTGTTGTGAGTTCTCCTAGGTGTTGCTGTTTCAAGTCACTGTTTCTCCTGGAGGAGCTCATCATGAATCGCTTCCCCAATATGAGTTTGATCATTATTATCAAAGGATCTTGGGATTTTGTTGGCTATGAGGGAGTTCTATGGTCCTTATATCAAACATCACTTCCTGGCTCCAGAAGAGAAGTTATGTGCTGTTTAATTTCCAGGAGCAACTTATCATGCTGGCTTTCTGGCAAGTAGTCTACTCTTCTCATCAGTGGAGGATCTCAGGAGCTCCTTGTTACTAAGAATTCTTGCAGTACTTTCAGGGCAGGCCTGGTTTTTACTTTGGTGTGACATCTTGCCTCCAGTGTAGAGCTCTCAGCCTGCCGGGACAGCTCCCTCACCACACTGGCAAAGACTTTCTAGTTTCCCTGCTGACCTTTGGGCCTTCCCAGTACATATGAGTAAAAGAGCCTGAAGTGAGTCCTTCTTATAGACTCTGTAGACCTGCAGGTGGACTTGTGGGAGGCATTGTGATGGGTTCTAGGTCTTCATCTGGAATCATGTAGGATATTACTGTGGGGTCCAGGCCCATGGCTGAATATTCTGGATCTTTACTGTTGTAGACAGATTTCCTGCCCTTTTTGTGTTTAACTCTGTGTGACTGTTATAAAATAAATTTATAAATTGTGTCCTGATTGAAGTTGTTCTCCTCACAATCCCTGTACAACAGACCCCTACATAGTCACTGTTTTAGGTGCTGTGGATGTGAACAGAATGAAACAGACGAAGTTCCCACCCCTCACATAACTTGCATTTCACTTGGGAGGCTGAGCGAGGGTACAAAAGGAAATAGCATTCCTGACACGCAAAGCTTTGGTGAGCACAGTGGGGAAAAGGGAGAACAGTCTCAAGCGATCTTCCCCTTGGTGCTGCTCCCTGCTTGCTTCTCACACTGGGCCTCTCCTCTCCCTGGTAACATGGGCCCTTTTCACACAGACCTCCAGCCACAGTCTGTCCTACTCCAGTACCCAGAGTCTGCTCTGATTCTGGGCACTCAGGATGGCTGCTATGAGGGTGTCCTGTCCTTGGGTTGGGACCTTGGAAGTCTCAGCAGCTGCACGTGTGAGTGCTTTGCTCCTTTTCACCTGAACAGCTCCTGTCTGGAATGTGCTGTCTGAGCAACTTCAGAGGCATGGATGTGCTGGAAACGAGCCTTAGGAAGGGGGCTGTTGATTGCATCTGTACCGACTTTTAGATTCCGTGTAGGGAGAACTGGCATCTTTTTCAGGTCTTCCTAACCCTGAAGTTGGTTTAGCCTCTAAATGACACTACATTCCATGTAGGCTTATTGCAGACAGCTTATACAGTTAGTTCTTTTTGTTTCCTCCACAGCTCCCTTTTCTGTTTTATGAGACAAAGTTCTCACTCTATAGCCCAGGCTGACCTGCAGCTCACTTTGTAATCGGACTCTCCTCAGGCTCATGATTCTCCTGACCCAGCCTCCTGAATGTTGTATTTTCCTGTTTCAACCTTTAGATATGTAATTCATTTTGACTTTAGATGGGTTAAATATATGGGTTCACATGCAGTCTTCTGCAAGAGGGCCTCCAGTTTAACTTGTATTTTAGACAAAGAAAATACTCTTTCATCTAGTGTTTGTTTTTGGCTTCTTTCAAAAAGGTCAGATGGCTGGGTCTGAAGGTGGTAATTTATTTGTCCTGTATTTGTCCCCCTGAGTCACATTTCTGTTTTGATTCCAGTATCCAGGATTTTATAACTAGCTGAATTTTAGGATTGTTTCTCTAGTTCTGTGAGGAATGCTGTTGGTATTTTCATCAAGATTGCGATAAATGTCTGTATTTTTTCATGAGATCTTTTATTTGGGAGTTCTAATATTTCCAAGTATTTGATTATATTAATTCTGATTATGCAAGGATAGGGGTTGACTTTCAACTTTCTGGTAACTGCTTTGATTTATGTTATCAGAGCAATGTGGATTTCATTGTAGAGATCTTTTACTTCCTTACATTAATGCCTAAGTATTTAAGTTTTTTGATGTTATTGTGTATGATATTTTTCCCAGTTGCTTTTTCAGTGCCTCTTTGTTGGTGTCCAGGATTGTCATTGGTTTTTGTGTATTTACTTTGTGTCCTGCTACATTGATTAATTTGGTTATTAATTCTAGGTATTTGTTTTCTTACCCATTTGTTATATATATATATATATATATATATATATATATACCTTCCTCCCTGTGTACTACAGGGAGGATGTCATATATATATATGACAGATTTCTCTGGCTAAGGCTTTGAATGCTTTGTTAAACAGAACTGGTGATACTAGAGATTCTTGTTTCTGATTTTAGAGAAAATGTGTTCAGTTTTATGCAGTTTAATATCATATTTATCATAGGTTTGTCATAAATGTCTTTTATCAGATTGAGATAAGACCTTTTAATATCCATTTTCTTGAGGATTTTTTAAACTTGTGAATGGATGCTGGATTTTACAAAGGCATTTTTCCTTGTCTCTTGAGATGCTCATGATATTTTTGTTCTTTCTTCCATGTAAGTCATCAATTAGATATTGAGTTGCATATGATGAACCATCATTGCACTTCTGGGATAATTTATACCAGGTCAGAGTCTGTGACTTTTCTGAAGATCTGGTGTATTGTTTTTGTCATAATCATTCAGAAGTTTTGCATCAATATTGGGTCATTGTCTGGTTTTGAATTCAGGGCATGATATCTTGCAGGAATAACCTTGAAGTGCTCTTCCACTTTCAGTATCATTAAAGGGCTTATGGTATATTGGTGTGAATCCCTCCCTGATGTCTTTGTAGGGAAAGCATATGGGCCAATTATTTTTTAGCCAGCAGGTGTCTTTTTATTACAGCTTATATTTCTTTGCCTATTACTGGATGCTGCAAGGATTTACATTTTTTGTTTAGTTTCAGTCATTCAGATTAGGAATCCATCCAGTTTTTTCTGAATTCTCTCCATTATTGTGCACAGATTCATGAACTATTTGCCCATAATCTGCTAAATTTTGTAGTGTCTGTGGTAATTTCCCCTTTTTCATTTCTAAGTGCATTGAATTCTTTCTTTTTTCCACTTTGAATAAAAGATTGGCTAAAGGAGATTTTATAAAAAAATTTTGTTCACTCAATCAAAGAAGCAGATCTTTGATTTATTGATCCTTTGTATTACAGTTTTCTCTTAATTTTATTGAATATACTCTGTTACTTATATTTTCGATCCTTTGCATTTAATTCACTCTTTTACTGTGTAGGACATTGACATGTGTGGTAAAATTGTTTATTTGAAGTTACTTTTTTTTGTTTGGGGAGCTTTCACAGTTATAAACTTCTCTGTGAGAACTGCTTTCACTGTGTCTCAGAAGTACTAATATATTCTTTTGTAATTATTGTTCTCTTCTAGGAAATGTTTTATTTCTCCCTTGATTTTAAGAGAACAGATAATATTGTATTCATCCCTCTGGAGATATAAAAAAATAATATAGTGTTTCACAATCATTGGAGCCATATGGAAGGAATGATCTAACACTTTGGACAGCTGGATTAAAATTAGATTGAACAGGTAAATAACTCAAAGTGGCTCATGGAAAATACACTAAAATCATACAAAGTATATAACTTGACTGATCATTACATTGGAGGATAATTCTAGTTAATCATTATACTAACAAGGAATAACAAATCTGGCCTCTACACTAGAGCTAAAAGAGACACAAGAAACAGAAAACAAAACATGAATAATCTGAATAATTTAGCAAAATACAAATACTGAGTGTTTGTACAGGTTGAAAAGCTATGGAAATTAGTTCTGGGTTAACACCTTAAAAGGCATTCACTAATCTGGTGTAGCATTGTTGTTTGAAGTTTTAGGTAGCAGGATTGGTTTATTTGAATCAATGATTGTGCTAAAAAAGAAAGGTGTGATTTAAGGTAAATTGATTTCCGTGTAATTCAGAGCATTGGAATGAATAAAGAAGGTGATTTCCAAGTCTAAAATTTAAATTTGTGATAGAGGTTAAATTCAGTTGGAATGTTTAGAAAGTCCATTTCCATTAACATTTTTTCTCTTCTTCAAACTAGTCAAAGAGTTATTTGCTGATCTTGTGAGAATAATGTAGCACTTGGGGGCAAAGATGCAGCCCAGCAGCCCTGCACTGGAGGCCAAGATGGAGAAGACCTCCATGGCCACCATGACTTTCCCCTTGCTGCTGTGGTACACAGGGAGGAAGGTGACCCACACACTGCAGAACACTAGCATGCTAAACGTCAGGAACTTGGCTTCATTGAAGGTGTCAGGCAGGTTCCTGGCCAGGAAAGCCACTGTGAAGCTGAGCAGGGCCAGGAAGCCCAGGTATCCCAGGACACAGTAGAAGGCAGTGAGGGAGCCCTTGTTGCACACAATGATGATGTGGCCATGCTCAGAGTGTACATCTGTGTCAATGTAGGGTGGATTTGTGCCCATCCAGATGCCACAGAGAGTGAGTTGGATGAGGGTGCAGATGGGGATGATGTAGTTTGGTGCTCCTGATATCAGCAAGTTCCTCATTCTTCTGCCTGGAGCAGTGACTTTAAAGGCCAGAACCACAGTAATGGTCTTGGCCAAGACAGAGGAAACAGCCACAGTGAACACGAGTCCAAATGTCATTTGTTGGAGGATGCAGGTGATCCTGTGGGGACGGCCAATGAAGAGCAAGGAACAGAGGAAGCACAGGAGGAGGGAGATGAGCAGGGTGTAGCTGAGAGTTCTATTGTTCGCCTTGACTATGGCAGTGTCTCGGTGCTTCACAAAGATTCCCAAAATCAAGGCTGTGAGTACAGAGAAACACAGAGCTATGAGGTTCAGAGCCATCCCTAAGGGATCCTCAAAGGAGAGGCAGTCCACAGTCTTGGGGAGACAGCGATCTCTGTTTCTATTTGGGTATTCATGCTTTGGGCACTGTGAGCATTGCTCTGCATCTGGGGCAAAAGCAAAGATTCAGTATTTCTTTTACAGAATTTTTTTTATTTTTATCAAGTTGATGAATTTCAATACTTCTGCAATATCACTATGAGTACATACTTGTTAAGATATAGTATTAAGCTGTAGCAGAGTATATCTGTATATGCCTGACTCAGAAGTAATTCATTTATCTACATGTCACATCAAAAACATCTAAGGGGGATTTGCCCCATATTCAACAGGATGGGGCTGGAGGTCAGGTCCTGCTGTGACTCAGTGCTATCACCAGGATTGTGAACTCCTCTCTGTCCTCTGTACTCTCAGAAATCTTCTTCAGGTTAAGATTTGCATTGGATAAAAATTCAGTCAAGAACATCTATTGCAAAGGATTCCCTCATTCTTACTCAGATGGACAAATGTGTAGTACTGATACAATTTGAGTTTTATAATTCCTTTACTGTTTTCCATCTATCATCTGTCTAACTTATCATCCTGTCGTATTGGAGAATTTTTTCCTCATCTTATATCTCAATTTTCCTGTGGTGATTCTGGTGAATAATATTCTTTACAGCACTCAAGTTCAAATGTTCTCACATACAATCCCTACAACCTAAGTTTTATAATTACTTATGGCAGTTTCATTTTTTTATTCTTTTGTCTTCATACACTTGTATTTCCCTGTGACTATTTTATGAAAATTCCAATACAAATATTGAAAAAATGAAAAGAAAATATTTCCTTTGGAATGCAGTTGTATTACTGCTTTATATGTCTTTTGGGAGAAATTTGTATTTTAATCCTGTTACTGAAGAATATTGTATTTTTCAAAGTCTTGAATTATGAAATTTAAAATCTCTAAAATATAAACCAGAAGTATGCTTTCTTCTGATTCGCACTATAAATATATGTATACATATATACATATATATATAGATGTACCTAAAAGTCTTCACACTAATCATAAAAACATAATATTTTGTTCAAGATTTGTAATATGACACACAAATAATTGAACAATTCTAAAACAGGCTTTCCGTTTTATCCACTCGCGTGACTATCAAGTCCCTAAAATGAAGGTTATTGTTTGTTATTGCAAACAAACATTAACAAAGAGCAAAAATTTATGTACTTGAAGTTTGTTATGAAAAGATATTGGTTTTGAGACTTTAAAGAATCCACAGGAAGCTTTGATAATTACACATTTCTTTCTTAGTTAGCCGTTGTCTTGGTTCACTGTAAGATTTCAGATTTACTGTTTCACACAGCATTGGAAAGAAACACAAGGGAAAATGTGATTCAGTGCTGCAACTGGAAATGATGGAATGAGCAGTTCCAGACAGGAGTGTGACCCTAGGGACTGTGACTGTAAAATCATTATATTGAAAGAACAAATCAGCAGAGGAGTGGGAAACAGCACTTCACTCTGATCCCGTTGGCAATGAGCCTAGCTTCCTATTACTGAGAAGATGTCACAGGGAACAGTGATCACAGTGTCATTCTAAATTTTCTACCTGTCTGATTAGAAACATGTCTCTCTGGGCAAAAAACACAGGTAAAGCAGCAGACCGGTCTTTCTTCCTGAGGAACTTTTGTGAATCCTGGAGCACAGCTCTTGCTACACACCGAGTGAGGAATCTAAGAACAAGAGAGAAGTACTGGTGATCATTTTGCATACTATGAGCACCTGAAATATGATGCACACATTTCAAGATTAATAAGATATTTAACTTTTATTAGGAAATGATCCTCACTTCTTTTCCCACACACTGCCAGGTTTATATTACCAAATTATTGCATCTGGAAACACAGTGGTTAGGTTTCTATTGCTTTTGAAACTATTTATCAATAATTTCCATTGTACAACGTCATTCGGTCACAAGCAACATCTTCATGCTATTTGTCTTGTGATTTATCTAAGCATCATGCCTTCGAGGCATATTTCCATGCAGGAACAGTTAAGAGACCTCATACTACTGAGGGGATTTTTACCAGTGTAATGTACTTGATTGGACATAAGGTTATGTTCTAGAAAACTGTAACAAGATGATAATTTGGTTCAACATTGACAGTAACTACAGAGAAAAATATTGTACAAATCTAGCAAATAATTCCAAATAGAAAAACTCAATGAACACCAGTTATCACCATTTGAGTGTGTTGCACTTTGAGGCTTCATAATCAAGTGGATGCCATGTTTTAATAATGAACAACACAAGAAGTATGCAAAGCATGATTGTTATATAAATCTGAAAATTTATATGGGAATGTTCAAATGTGGGAAGATGAAAAGAAATTATGTCAGTGCCTTTAAATGCTAAGTACAACAAAGTTTGGGGGTCAAAGTTTCTTAACACTAACAAAAGGAAATGGCAATAATGTGTGGAAAACATGCATGTTAAATGAATACCTGATTTACTCAGAGTGAGTCAGAGCATAAGAACAACTCCTACAATATATAATTGAAAGAGATTGGGTTATACAAATGGCTATTTTGGTACATATCTATATATATTTTATTGCTATTTCTGTATATTAACTTTATTCATTTATCACTCCACTACACCTTGAATAAATATACTCAAATTAAAACATCGTGGCCTCTACAATCATGGTGTTTCTCTAGATGCTAGTGCAGAAGACATGGTACCTCTAGAGACAAAATGTGAAAGATGAACTTAGTGCTTAGTAGAAGGCAATCAGTCTGATTCTGGAACTGTTTTCTGTATGTATCTAACATTGAAAGGGATTCATACCTCTGTGAACCCAAGAGGCCATTCTATAATCTCTTCCTTGATGACCAAGCCTTGATCAAGAGGGCCCTTAGAGACAAACTCTCCTACTTTAACCAGCAAGCTAAGGCCAGCAGGAAAATTCAGTGTGTTCTGGATGTCATACTGTGCCACATGTTGTCTTTTCCCATCCAAGAATATGGAGTATCCAGCACTGTTTTTAAATTCAATTTTCTTCAGGTAAGGATGAAGCTAGAGGAGAAGTATCAGTTTGGAAATAAAGAGTACATACCTATTAAATGTATGCTAAATAATTTTGCTAACATTCTGTGCTCAGGTGCCATTGTTGACAGTCTTTTTGGTGGTCACCATCCCGTAGGTCTAAGTGAAAACCATGATCCCCATGTGTGACTGGGAGACTAAAGAAACACAATTACAATGACTCTTTTCCGATCCAGACTCAGAATGTGATTTAAAATCTCTTAGTTGCTAACCCTCATACACTAACAAGGACTAAACTTGGCAACATTGAATTCATGCATTTTGCTGATGGCACAATGAGTGATCAGAAAGGCCCAAACTGATGGAGATATACTCGGTGACTGTATATTTTTCACATCTCAATCATACATGTTCAAAACTTAGTAAAATACACAACAAGGGTTATTTTCTTTCTCTTGTTGGGGGCCCTTTCTTTTCATAAATTGAGAGTATCTTGAAATATCTGAGTTTCTAGTTATGTTATGTAGCCCAGAATATAAGTTCTGTGACATTGTGTGGTGGAAAATGTAAAATTCTTATTCTTTTAACAACTGTCATTTAAGTTCTTCAATATGTGAACACAAGCACTCTAAATGAACCACCATCATTTTGAGGATCCATTGTGCAAAATGTCAGCTTTTCTTGGCAAGAAAATAACTTCAATGTTGTATATAGATAACGTCATATTACTGTAATGGATAGTACATATTTTTGATTGAAAATAGAGATTAATGTGCTTACCTGTATACAATAAGAACAAAATTTCATAAATATACTGTATTCTTGGATTCAGTTAAATCAAAGTTAAATCTCAAACATATTTGTGCTTGACACATGGGAGGAAGTTTTACACACAGACACATACACACACACACACACACACACACACACACACACACACACATATGTATTTTTCCACAGTCTCGTATTTAAAAATGAAACCAAATGTCCTCACCCCATGATTGTTCCAAAGAGTGAAAGACTACAAATGTCTACAGGCAATTCATTTCCCACCATCATTTTACAATATTATGTGGAGCTCTTTTTCATTTTCACTCCAAGTTTCACAGAGAGAACTTTGGTTACAAAATATACAATAATCTGGATGAAATAGCTGTTTCTAATACGATCATTTTGCCCATGGTTTTCAGGATTGGATTCACTGCAATTAGTAGTATACATGTGTCTAGTTCTTCAAATTATTTTGGTCATGAGCTCTGTGTAGATGCTTAGCATCACTTCACAGTACTTTTGGAAGTTATATGTATAATACCTAATTAATTTTTTGGAATTCCAAACTTCAGTTGCAGAGTTCCACCACTGCAGGTGATAATTACAGATAATTCGAGACATGGGTAATATATCCATATCCAGGACAAAAGGACCACTATTGCATTTGCCTAACTCTGATGACCTAGGGAAGAAAGCATGGTCATAGTAAATCACATTGAAATACCTGCACACAACATCAAGTTGTCAGCACCTATTTTACTTCTGATGTAAGTTTACCTGCCAGGGAAGAAGCCCAGGCTGCTCTGAATTTTCTGGAGAACCCACACCTGTTTGCTCCAAAAGCATTTTATGCAGCACGTGGGCCACTGCATACACAGCATTGTAGATAAAATAGCTGGAGTCTGACATGGTCATGACATCAATGTTTCCAGGCAACAACTCTAAGGAGGTATTTGGTGGGCAAACATCAATTGCTCCACATTGTGAACCAGGAAGTGAGCAATGAAACATGCTAAGCCATAGTTTACTGAAATAAAAGTCTTCAGGGAATTGGGAAGGGTTGGTTGTTTGGAGGAAGTGTCTGAAACCAGGGACTTCCCCCTTGTGAGGAGAAAATGAGAAGCTTCCATGAAAGGAGTGCAGCATGTGGTCCGTCTCATACACAACGATGTCCCACTTTGCAGTCATGATCCACACCTTTCCTGTTGTTAAAAAGTATACTGCTGAAATGTCCACAGTGATGAGGCTCCTGATTTCCCCATACAGGATGTGCACATTGGCAGATGAAACTCTGATCCTGCTCATGAAAATGATGTCACTCGAGGCATACATTATCTGAGTGGCAGGGAGCTTTTCTGTCAAGGCCACACAGATACCTTTCTTTAGCATCTCTGCTTCCAGGTCCCTCAGGAACTGCTCCCCTTTCAAATCATCAGATACAAAAACAGCCACCCATGTCCATCCAAAATGCATTAATAATGAGGTAATTGCATGGACCAGAATGCTGTCCTTGGGGGCCATCTGATAGAGTGATGGATACTGGTCTTTGTCACTGAGGCTGGGATCAAAAGGTCCATACGTGACCTGTAGAAACAAAGAAAAATACCATGATTCTAGACATTACTGGCATCGGTTTTGCAAACTTCGCAGAGAGTCTTTGAGAGTTCTGTCCATAATAAGGCTACTGGGTGGACTACTATGAGTAAGAGCAAGCCTGGTACAGAACCCTGTCCTCACATGCTGAACAGAGTGCTGTGTGTTGTTCCACAGCAACAGGAATTTCCATGTGTATGTGATACTGTTTGAAATAATTGCTAAGATCCACATGTACTTTTATTTCTGGTATGCAATTCAATAAGGAATAAACTTGGGCTATATCATGAAGACAAGCCTATCTGCCTCACTTGTTAACTCTTATCTGCATGCTGGTTGGAGTCTCTGCGAAGGTAACATGTATCCCCACATGTATTCATTATTACCACACTGAAACCGAGATTGTCTTGCGGCATACAATCACTTGTGCTTGCCAACTGCCTAAACAGTGTTTCCAGAAAGCTCCCAATGCAATGTCCCTGTTCTTCAGCAATATCCCTTAACTGACACTTGTGTTATAAGTTTCTTCTGAAAACAACATATCATACAGATGACAGGAAGTGGAAATTTCCCTGTGAGTCTCCCAAATGGGTGGATTTAATGTAGGTATATACAAAGTGAGTGACTCAATCTGAATAGAGTTGTAAGAGCTCCAGCTATTTTTCTGGCACCTATAAGCTTAACTCTCCAATGTTTTCATAGTCAAATTAGATGTGCTGGTGTTGTGAGTCCTGCACTGGACAGTTACTGCCCTTTAGAGGCTTCTGACACTGTCACATTCTTTTATGGGCAGTTCATGCTATGGACATACATCGCAACACCAGCTGTACACTGCCATCAGTCAGTGTAATAGAACATGAGAAACCAACGTACTGGATCAAGACAAAAATAAGGATTGAGGATCAGAGTAACCATATCTTTCTCTTCTCCCTATTTTTTATAATTCCAATTATCTGCAAACCCAAACAGTTTCATTTATCACTTAAAATTTTACATAGCATCTAACATTAGTCTCCATATTTCCCTTTGACCAGAAAGATTGACATGCAGGATATGAAAAATTCTTTACAAAATTCATGGTCCACTTGCCTGAGGGAATTTGTAGAGTTCCAAAAGTGTTCCAGTCTCAGCTGAAAATGCTGCCGCTGTTCCTGCAAGGATGGCAATAAATTTGCTGTGTGTCTGGCAGTGATAGTTAGGGATTTGTCTGGGTGATCCACATAGCCAAAGCAGAGTGCTCCACAAGGTGAAGTGGTCACTGGCAAGGGCATTGTAGATGTGAAAACCCAAGGTCACATTGGGGAGCAGCTGGGAGTCCTTGTTGATCTCCTTGATGGCAAAGTAGAAAGCCAGAACATACTGGTAGTTCTTCCAAAACCACCTGTTCAATTAGAAATTGCATCAGATCCACAAATTGTAAACAGAAAATGTAGAACATTGTATGTTTCCTATTTTGTACAAACAGAGATTTCATCCCCCAAAGACAAATACACTAGCAACTTGTAAGATTATTGTACACACTGATAACTGCTACACTCATGGTTAACCTTGAATAAATCACAGAATGTAAAGGAAAGATGGGAAATATCAAAAATCAAATAGACTCATTTATAGGATTTACTCTGAGGAGACAAGTGTATAATATCACAAAGCACAATAGTGCCTTCCCAGAGCGGAACAAGGTATGGGGACCAAGAATGACTTAGTGGTTTGAAAATTTGCTGGCTTCCACTGATTGTTTAAAAAGAAACATCAGCTTTGTTAGTGAGCATATCTTTGGCCCACTGGTTTTATTTCACTTACATTGATCAAGGAAATGTGCATGGCTTATTTAAAAATATCGAACATTTAGATATCACAAATACAGAAAACAAGTTACATCAAAAATGTCCAGTATTCATTAAGTGAGTGTTGGCATACTTAGGAAAAGTGACACTTCATAGGCCTGGAAAATATGAAAGAAATATTCATTAATCATAGGAAATTATGACTGAGATATATTTCTGCTGACCAGAAAACCATTTACAGAATAATATTGACAATCTGTGATCTAACAATACTTGCACAAGTAATACGAATATGCATTGTTACTATTTTATACCTAAGCAAAATATGATTGAATTTTTGCAACAATGAGAGTAGACAGAAATATCTGGGTGTATAATGGAATGTAGAGAATAGCTGGCCTCCAGTTTTGTGAAATGGGGTGATACTCTTTATTCTTCACCCCTACGGGCCCCATGAGCTTGTGGACACACAGATTCCGTGAAGGTTACCTGGGATTAATATTCTCTCTTCTCTATCATCGATTCCTACCTCCCTATCAGTGGCAAATGAGAAGAATCATTAGCTGTTGTATAACTTTGGATTTTACATGCATGAAATAATGGTCCATTTCACGCTTTTATAAAGATAAAGAACGAGATAAAAGAGACAGAAATTCAAAACTAACAATTGCAGAGAAGATTGACAGAGGGAAACTTGTCCTTACAGAGGCAGAAAACTAGAATTCTACCACACAAGGTGGCAGTCTATCATCATTTATCTGTAGTGCACACATTTTGGCTGACATGCTAAGTGTTAAGTGATGTCAGGAGAAACTGCTAAGGATGGAGGCATTGATGGGCTCACACTGCCTATGGCCTGCCTCCCTTAGGATAGGAACACATTGATATGTGGAGCATTCTAAACGTGTGCTCAAATGTTGCACCAGCATCTCACATTGAGTGAACATGCTACCCTGCCATCATATGCTTACTTCAATCAGTTTGGGAGCACCAGTATTACAAGTTCAGGCCATGCAATTTATTAAAACTCCACTTAGTGAATTTCTGCTTTTCTTTCTGGAAATCTTAACAAGCAAGTCTCTGGAGCAGGGCCAGAACTGTGGTTTCTTTTTCTTCCATATACTTAAACAGAGAATAGTCCATGTCTGATAAGCTTCAATTATGGATCATTTGTGGGCCATGGTCAGCTTGGGCTGTGGACCTCAGCTGTGGTTGAATTCATTGTTAGACATATTTTAAGAATATGCTTGTCCAAAGTGAACACCTAGGGTAAGCCACTGGAATTTGGTATTAATTTCAGACCGGCGCTCAGTTCCTAAGGTGTCTATGGCTTTTGCTCCATGAGTTGTTTCAGAAACAATCCCATAGGTAGAGTGATTCATTTATTTAAAGGATCCAATGCTTGATAATGAGCATGCATGTGATGGACTGGAAATAAAAGATAAGAAATTCTTTTATATGTCTTTTACAGAGAGGAGAAAAGAAGATATGTGAAAAGTGGTGGAAAATCAACAAGCAAGTGCACTTGAGATTATTAGTATGACATCCTGACATGTCTGCACATTTATAAAAAGAGTTCTCAAGGCATATCAACCGCAGAAGCACACATATGCAAGGACATCCAATCACACAGAGTCATAATAATATTTAATACACACATACAGAAACACACACACACACACACACACACACACACACACACACACACCCTGGAATTTACCTCATGGCTGTCACTTCAGTTTTTGGTGGGAACAGAAAGGACAGACGGGATACATCTGAACCCTGGTTCACATAGTAGATGGGGAAAAACCCACCAAGCACCAAGTCTCCATCTCTCTGGACACTTGGACACAGGTATGTGAAACATTGTGAAACTTCTTTCCATGATGTATATACAGGTTTCAGCAATAAGAAAAGGGAAATGAAGAAGAACATGTTCAGCTCCATCTGAGTGGAGAAAATGCTTTACTTTATTTTTGCAGTCTGTGGTAAGGAAATAGAGCTTGATCCTGTCTGCAGATTCAGTCCTCTGAAGTGAAAATCAATCTCTGTGTTAGGCACAGAGAAGTCTCAAAATCTTTAGATGCCTACAACGTAGTGGAATACAAGTACAGCTCCCTTGTTGCCTTTAGCAGCACAGCTAAAGGCACAGTGAGGTATAAAGTAACAGCCACACTAGCCGCATTTCACTCTTGGTGACATTATCATGATAGCACTGCTGGTTCTCTCTTCTCAGTGCTTCATGTCTCCTCATGCAGAATCTCTAGGGGTGTCCTTGGCCTGGAGCTCCGCACCTGCCACCTCACAACTTTGTGAAATAACACTTTGGAAAAATATGTTTGGGGCTCCTTTTCTGAGCTTTATTAACTCATCACATTGTCCACCAAGGACACACACACACTATGTCCTAAGAGGGTCAGCTTGGTACTATTGTGCCTGCAGGGCAACAGCCTATCAGTGCCTGTTCCGAGGAATATGGCATACTTTGATAGATGATTTTGAAATCCAGAAATACCTACTGGGAAAATTTCAAATCCTATCTTAAGAAATGCACAACTGAAGTTGAACAATGATGACCAGTTTTGCAGCCCTGAGGACACATCTTAAGTGGTTTGGATTTTTTAGTAACTCTTGCCTGTACTGCACTCCTGGAACAAATAGAACTCAAGATTTACCACACAATAAGCTGCACAACACAGGGAGCAAGTTTCCCTGCCACATCACAGAATTTAAGCAATTATTACAGAGCCTGATGCTTTGTGTTCTGCTCACTTTGAATTCTCACACCGTTACATTGTTTATTAAGGCATAAGTAAAAAGAGTTTTACATTTGATCTAGCACTTATGTCCTGTTTTCTTATTCTTTTATATTTTGTTTTGTTGCAGTACTAGGGATAGAACTCATATCCTTGCACGTTCTTCCCTAAATCTTCCCAAATACTTCCATTTCCCAGTTTACTCCCACTTTCGGTGAGTTTGTTTATTTAAACTTGGCATGAGAGAGATCCACAGTGTTTTTTCTCCATTCCTCTTTATTTCATCCAACATACACTGTAGTTTTATCCATGATGTTGAAATGGCAAATTGCCTTCTTCTAACAGCACTGTAGGACTTTATTGGGAATATATATACTTTCTTTTTGTATTCATTGTGAGTGGACACTTCACTTAATTTTTTCTGTTGGCTGCTTGAATTATCCTGCAGAGGAAAAGGCATTGCAAATATGTCTTGAACAGTCATTTGTATGTGGTGCATATACCCTCAGTTGTGGGATTTCTCAATTAAATGACATTTCTGTATTTATTTTAAGAGAAACCTCTAAAGTGTTATTGTCATTTAATTTATATTAATTGACATTAATTTTAAAAGTAAAGTCATTTTATTTGAAGAACTTTCATAACCAGCATTTGCCTTATAGGCAACAATGTTCACTCTTGGTTGGGCAATACATATAAAGATTGTGTGAGACTGGGCATTAGAATTCATGGTAGCTTGATTGTATTTTTCATGGTTACTTCTCTGTGTACTCACTCTTGGTGTGGGTTACTTACACCAAGTGAATGTGGCTTAACTCTCATGATGCATCTATGATAAAACTGGAATGCAGAACTTTGTCCTAAAGGATGCCACTCTAATTCTCATCAGCAATATTTGCTAACAAAAAAATGCACACTATGCATAACAGAATTCATAGCATTGGTTTGTTTTTCATCATCTGCCATTTTGAATTCCCTGCCTTGTGCACTCTAAAAGAAGAATAGACAGCTTTGATCTATTTTCTGGGAAAAATTTGTTTGTATTGAGAGACAAAAAAGCAGGTTACTAGAGAATAAAATGCATATTTCAACAAAATTCTCAAATGTGGATCTTCATTTTGCCCCTCTGGTTTATGAGCAAATACTAAACTCCCAATTCCTTGCACATGATTTCTAACCCTTTGAAACTTTCAAGTTAACTGGAAGCACCACAAGTATTTTCTACTCTATCACACAGAAAAAAACATAGAAACTAATCGGGGTCCCTGTTCTATGCTTTTGAAATATAACTTGTATTTTGTGACTACCAGTGTCTCTCATGTGGGGCCAGGAAATGGACATAGGCAAGGTTACATTGAGGGACATGTCTTGAATATACATTCTGGGAAACAAGGGTGGTTCTTCCATTTGTGTTACGTTTTTAGTCTTACTCAGGAATCTCAATCAGGAGAAAAGCTGTCTGCAGAAAGTAAAATGGAATGTGATGCAATAACAAGCTGATTTTGTATGCAGCAAATTATTTGAAGGAGAAGTTAGGACAATCGTCATTTTTGAGGTGTTTCATCTTCACTTGTGAATATCTTCAAATGTCATGGATCTTAACATATTAACCAGGCATGGAGTCCACACCAATTGGCAGAGTCACCACAGGTTGGGAAGTAAGACCCTGGCAAGTGGGGCTCTTCAGTGAGGAAGGAATTGCTAGAAGGACAGGCTGAAGTGACCTCCTCCAGCACAGGATTTGAGGACGAGTGCAAAGACGGCAGACAGGGCCATGGTCAGAATAGTCCCACTGGGAGGAAGACTGGAAGCAGCTGTGTTCACCCAGACTGCGCCATGTCATGTTGCTGACTTGGAGGGATGGACCGCATTACTGAGGGAAGAGAAGGATGGATTAGGGGACACATGTGAGCCTGTAAGAGAATATTAATCCCAAAACAACAGGAGGATTGTACTGATAAACTGAAGGAGTTATAGAGAGAAAGACAAGTAAAAAAAATAAAATGGAGAACTAGAGGATATTTATTGCTTTATTTTTTTTTGTAGAAGGAAAATCACTTATTGCTGCACTGTGTTCCAAACCTGCAGAAGTGCTGTGGTCCACTTTGTCCTCTGCTCAACTCGGAAAACCTTTACCATAAATCCTCATCTGGCTGATTCATCTGCTGAAATGAATTCATTCTTAACCACAAGTAGGGATTTTGATCATTTCATCTCTACTTTCTCTGGTCCAATTCTTTCATTAGGCGAAATATTTAAGTTTCCCACTTTATCTGATCCAAGGTCAAATTGGCAAAGAGCTACCATACTTCTTTCTGTCCAGGATATGTTTAATAGGGCTGAGAACCAATCAGCGTAAATGCTTGGAAGTTGACTGCTTCTGAGTCACCATGTGGAACACTAACCTGACAGTCTCTAGCTCCCCTCAGCGACAGCCAGACACTTTAGTACCTCTTAGTCACAGTTGAAGTGATCTTAATGCAGAATTCAGGACCAGATACAATGAACACATGGCACTAATGGAACTTTTAAAGACTGATTTATTACACTATAGGCTTCTGGGGATCTTACTTCCAAATCTTCAGCCTAGCATTGAGTCTTTCATCATTTTTACATGTTCCAAAAAGATATACAAAAGCCAGAGAATGCAATATCCTATGCCTGGTTACGTATTTCTTTGTCATTAATTGCGAGGCAGAACTGACCCTTTCAGAAAGAGCGACTGAATAATATTACTGTTGTACATCATAGAGGAAGAATCTATCATTGTCTGAGACTGGGCAGAAACATCCTCTGGAATGTGGAAACATGAGAAACATTCCTTCATGGCAGAGTTATACTGATACTGCAAGTGGAACATGGAGTGTCAAAGTTCATTCAATTTGCAACTTTCTAACCCTGAGAACAGGCTGTGTCTCGTAGTCTCATCCTTGAACAATGTTAGAAATATTCTTAGTGTTGGAAATATGAGTTTTAAAATATTTGCTTCATTAAAATAGCATCTACAGTTTCATAAAAATCATTCCAAAAACTCAGGGATGCAAGCATGTTACAACTTTCCTATAGATCTAATGATGGGATTCCTCTAAAATCAAAATTCCAATAGGTTAAAATCACAACTTTTATATGGTAGAAATTGTTATTTTACATAACAGAAATTACTACTAATGATATGTGTTTACCAAAAACTGAGCAAATTATGGTTGTTTGAAAATAATTAATTCATCTTGATGTATTACTCAGAATATTATTTACAGTGGTAAATATAGAGAAGTCATACTATACATTGTGAAAATGGAATGTTACTACAGTGACTATGAAAAATTACAAAAGGAAATAGCTCTATTCACTACACCATGGGGGAAAAGTGTGGTATTGATATGGAACTCTTTCTTATGTAGCATTATGTTACACATGAGAAGTAAAACAGTGTTATTCATCTTGCCTATCCATGAACTTCGAGGAGAAGGTGTTTTGAATAGAAAGTGCTGCCTTTGAATTAATGATAATTTTAACTTCTCCCTAGATATGGAACTTTCTTTGAAGGGTGCCAATGCTCAGAGGAATCATTTCCCTCAAATATTTGTGACTTTTCTGGCTTATGAGCTTCTCCTGAAAACTGGCTGGCATATAACTGAGCTTCACTGTTTTTTATTGCTATTCTGGGCCTGTTTGTGAACCACCAACACATTTCTGTTGTCAAGGCCAAAAGTTAGGCTACTGGTTATATTCCCCTCAGGTCACCCACTTCCTGTATTCTATGCTCCTCATTCTTCCTTACACACTCAGAGCCACCGTAATCCTGCAATGAATCATATTTGGAATTCTGTTCACTGTCTTCACTGTGTTGAGTAAATCTATAATGGTGTTGCTGCACTTGAAGTTCACTTCTCCCAAAGTAGGATGATGCAGTTCCTGGTACCAAAGGCATCAAACTCCACCATTCTCATCTGTTCTCTAATCCAACTCAACCCTCTGTGGGGACAAATGTACCCTACTATCAGGTTTTGTCTTAGATCCCCGATCTCTCAAATGAGTGTACAGTGGAGTTTGAATAAAAAGAGACAGATTGTATGATTTTTTGGGCTCCACAAGAGTCAAAACCCTTTAATTAAGCTCAAGGCTTCAAGAGTTAAGACAAAAGATTCTCTAGATCAGTCTACTTATATGAGGACCAAG